GGTGTGACCTGTCAGCAGGAGAAGCTCACTTCTCCGTGGCACCTTATCCCATTTCTGACTGCTTGGAGGTCCGTGTTTGCTCTGCTCCTATTTTGTACTGTTTTGTGAACATTTGACCTTTAATACTGTTTTTATCCATGTTTTTTTTTTTTTTTTGAATATGTAAAAAAAAATTGGAATCTTGCTTAGTTGCAGACCAACATCCTTACACATGCACATTGATTATATACATACATGTATAACTGTTTAGAAAATAAGAACAAAGATTTTTTTTTTCATAATTTTATAAATACTTTATAATAATTCATTGTTGTACATGGCAAACTATTCAAACTTTGGTAACTTCTCTGAACTACCTAGATATGACGTCATAATAGAATATGACGTCAAGTCACTGCATTTTTCAGATGACATGACGGAGAAAGTGTCTTCATTTTTACATGGCATGTAGATTTATTAATTGCATTGGTGGAATTCATAGGCTCCTATACATATTTTTTATTTATTAGAAGAAAGAATTTTACATGTATCAATCTTTACATTTAGATAATCAGAATGATTTTGTTTGAAAATTATTTTTCTTTTTTTCTTTAGGAAAGCCACTGCATATGCCCAGGTTCTCATACCAACAAGGTATTATTGCGTATTGCTTATATCACAATACTAATGCATTTTTTTATTGTTTTTAAAGGTACTTGGACACAGATATGAAGTTAATTCTTTTTGTATAATATCAGAATTATATATATTAAAAGCATTTCACACAAAAATTAATTAAAAATATTATTTCATTTAAAAGTTATTAAAACTGTAAATTTTTTGGCGGGTTTGATTGACACATCCTTGCACTTTCACCAATTTTAACTTTATTCTTAATCCTTTGGAAAAGTGGCAATCTTGTTATGTATTAATGAGAAATATTTCAAATTAAATCCAGAAAAATAATTTTATTCAAAGTAGAAATGTTAGAAAGCAAATTCCTTTACAAGTATCGTCATTGTGTACAAAGTTTGGCAAATCGATCAAACTCGTGTTACGAGGGTTGATCCAAAAGTAATGTCACAACTTCGATAAAAATGCTACTAGTCTACGTAAATTAACGAAATTACACATCATCAAAGCTATATATATTTCAAATCAGTCCTGAAAAATTCAAATTAAAATGATGTATACTTTTCAAAATATCGAATTATATACAAAGTGCAATAATGGTAGTCGCCGCACCAAAATAACGTCATAATTATGATGGATACGCGTCGTCATACACTTAAACGCTTCCCCATCGTTTCATTAAAAATATTGGAGATTAAAGAACACATTCACATATATTTCTCTTTTTAAAAGAATTATTGGCACCGGCACTGTAAACTCAGTCTTTACATTATTTAGTTATCTGTCAAAATTCTTTCAACAGTACCATAAGAAAAACTTAAAGTTTCTCATATCACTCTAACCGTCTAATCGTCTCTCTTTTTGGACGTCAGACACCATTTCAAGAACGTTTCCGCCCGACCTCCCTTTTTCGGTCATTCTTCCCTCTGCTGAACATTCAGTGACCCATGTCCCGCTAAAAATCGCTGAAACCATCTATAAACAAGTCTCATATTCACATTCTATCCTCTGTGTGTCTGATTATCATCGTAACTGTTTCTATTTCCCAATTTTGAAGTAAAAACGCATTAGAGATCGTTTCAGCGGTTTTTCTCCATTTTGGCATTTCTAGTGTTCAATCCAGCAGATTAAAACAACTATGTTTATGATCAAAAAAGCAATGACGTCATTTTATTTTCAACTTAAGACTAGAAAATGTCGTAAAATTTTGTTTTTTAAAATATTGGAAGATTAGAATTTTTTTAGATGCTTTTTAATGTGTTTGTCTTTTTTCATTCTAACAATTCACAATTAACGGATCGCCAAACTCCGCCCATCGCGCTATGGGAGATAACTCCTACGGTGCTCCGACATCATCAACATAGGGAGTAACTCAGTATAAGTCGACGCCGGTTGATTTGTCCGAAGTTCCTGATGATTTGCTGCAAAATATTTGCCATACGAACCCACTTTGAGACAAAACAAAGGGCAAATGCTTTTACAAAAGCTTTCATACATTTCATTCACTTGAAATATTCAAAAATGATTCCGTATTATCCCTTTCTCGGAAATTTTATCGAAGCATGATAAAGTTCGAAATCCCTCATACTGTAATCATCTATGTCGACGAAGAGAGAAGGACATTGTGACTGCAAATCTGGGTAAATGATAAATTACAAAACGACTTTTAATTCAAGTTGTAATGTTATAATTTAATTAAATCAGGAATAAAATATAAAAAAAACCATTCCGACATTGTCAACTAAGATCTGCTTTTAGTTCCTATCTATAAGGAGGCGATCATTTGATTCTGAATGTGATGTCTGGCTAATAAAGGAGTTGAGTCAGTTTGGAAATAAATGAAATATGTCCCCCCCCCCATAATCTTGGGTTGTCGACGGTGTTTCCTTTTTTTTTTTTTTTTTTTTTTTTTTTGCTTGTTAGACTTTTTCAGTGAAGCGGAGAATAAATGAATAAATAATAAGCCATTGGAAATAAATAACTCGTCATGACAATAAATAATCTGACTCTGACTCGGAAAAAAATTGCAAGCCCCTCTCCCCTTCCCGAATCAAATGGTCGTTCCATAAATCTCTCGGGCTCCGATAATATCGACTCTGGAAAAATCTTTCTTATTTACTTTTAAGTTCTGGTGGAAAATGTGCACACTTTTTAGCAATAATAGATAATAGTGCATGAAGATTTTGAATAATTTTGGTCAGATATACACCGGTATTATATAAATCTAATATACAAAGTTCGTGTTTTTCTGGGACAACCCTCAAATAACAAAGTCGGACTAATTCGTTAAAGATATTGATTATAATTCCGGTAATGACAATGTATGTCTTTATATAAAAAAAATAAAGTTATTAAATAAATTCAATATTTTGCCAATACATGATGGTATTCTTAATAATTAAATAATGCTGGTATTAAGGGGGGGGGGGGTAATTTAAATTTAATTTTTAGCGATAAAATAGAATCATTTTTAATGGGTAGATTAAATCGAATTTAATTTTTTTAAGTGAAAAATAAAAATTCATAAACTTAATCCTGCATATGCAATAATAACTGGTAATAAAGACTGGTAACTTTCAGACACAAGTCAACAATATAAACACGATAAATGTGAAATTAGAAACTCAAAAATCGTAATGTTCGTTTTTAAAATGTGTATGTATTTTGACCATTATTTTGAGGGTACAATATGCACGAACGTACATGTAAAAGTGTTAGAGACTAATTAAGCATAATTATCTACCATGTCTACCGGTATCATATATAGATATTTACAGGTATTCTATTATTCACAAGTTATTTCTAAATTTTTAACTAGAAGACAGTCTGTCAAATGAATCTCGATACCGTGTATACCATTTATTAGTTTATACTGTGCATGAATTTATAAATACCAATTTTTTGCGCATCAAACTAAGAAAGTATACATTTATATAAACATGACAAACAAGTAAACGAGTTTTATTTCATTTTCTGACCAAAATATTTAGAAGTCCCAAAACGTGTAAACCCAAGTCCCGAAATCATGCGAAATGTGTTGACAGGTCTCGAAACGTCGGCGTCCCAAAGCATGGCAGATCCGAAACATCCATAATTCTCTTTCGGGATACCTTTCATCGGTATTACACGTTCCCCAACTGAATACTTTTAACCATAATAGACTTATTTGCTCAATTTGTTTATTGTCGACCATTCAACCCACTGAGAGTGTTTGTCGGAGCATATGGCGGAGCAAGTTTTTACTGAAAGGGCAGAATAAACGAAATTATTTTATTGGTTGAAAATTTGTTATGATTGACAGCTGGCGATACGTTAATTTAAAACGTGACGTTTAGTTGTGACGCGGCGACACCCCTTATGTTTAATAATTTAAACGTCTATAAAATTAATTCAAGTAAACATTGTTAAATGAAATTTCCAATTTTGATTAGAATTATTTTCATGCATCTTTTGGTATATTATTTTGGATAATATGACGCCAAATATTAAAGATATTGACACAGTGACATTACTTTTGGATCAACCCTCGTATGTACACGGATTTTTGAAAACATGTTATTGTTTGGTGTTTACAATTCACCGGGTGCGTTCATTCGCCAATGTCTGTTCATCACAACTACACGGACTGACATTATATTGTGTGTTGTTTGCTCTCGAACATGTCTACTCTGAATTTTCTGGATTATAGTATGAATTTTTTTTATTAATACACATCAAGATTGCCCATTTTCCTAAGGAATAAAAACTCAAAGAGCCATAGCGCATTTGATAGTCATTCTGTAGATTTTCAAATTTTAAGCTTAAGATTCATTTAAACTTCAGATTTTTTTTCAAAAAACCGAATCGTCCTCCAGATAGAACGAAGTACAAGAAATAGTTTTCGTGTAAAAATTGTCTCTTGCACTGATAAATAAGCAGTATTTATTTCAAATTTATTTAATTTTAATTTGTGCAGATAAAACGCAATTTTCATTTATGGAGAAAAAAAAGAATTAAAATATTTGCTTCATTTACTTCAGTTAACATGTTTTTCTAATGTTAAATAAACAAATTGCATTTAAATTAATCACTTTTCATATTTAAATTCAGATGAACAATAATAATCAGCCCCAACAAACCCAATATAATCCCTCTTAAAACGGTTTAATAATTTAAAAAATCTTAATTAAAATATTTCAGTTGTTGAAGTAATAACAAAAAACATTGGAATTTTGATTTACTGTAGTAACTGTGGAACTGAAAAACTAAGGTATAAACTGTGGAACTTTGACTTACTATGATGAAAACTTTGGAACGTTGATTTACTATGGTAAAACTTTGGAACTTTGATTTACTATGTTGAAAACTTTGGAACTTTGATTTACTATAGTGAAATCTTTGGAGGTGAAAACTTTGGAACTTTGATTCACCATGGTGAAAACTTTGGAACTTTGATTTACTATAGTAAAATCTTTGGAACTTTGATTTACTTTGGTGAAAACTTTGGAACTTTGATTTACTATAGTAAAATCTTTGGAACTTTGATTTACTATATTAATCCATAGTTTACTAAAGTTAACTATAGTTTGCTATAGCAATTTTTTGTTAGGGTATATACAAAGGTAGAAAAAATAAGTAATAAACCTACAACATTTTTCAAAAGGTCCATTTAAATCATTTCCAAAACATACTCTTATCGTTCGTCTATTTTTTTTTTTTTTGACACATTAAGGTCATTATTCATTTTTTTTTTAATTTGGGGATTTTTCCTGACTTTAATCATTAACGATAGCATTGAATATTCTTGTGATGGTAATAATATAGTGTAAATTAAGATAGTATGTATCATTTTAATTTTTTTTCTTACTGAAAAAATGGAGGTTTAACTTAAATTATGATACAAAGTTACCCCTCCAGTTCTTTACAGTTTTATTTTGCTATAGCACATAAAATAAAAATTAACATCTCTTACTAATTTCCTGTTACTTCATTCATATCAGGAAGCAAAGGGCGACTTGTTTTATGATTCTTTGATAGAATGTATTCCTGGAGACCAGAGTCTACTAGGACATCTATCATTCGATAATTATTTTGAAGTTGGATTTCCACCTAGAATGCCATGGGCAAAAAACAAAGACATAGAGAAAATAAGAAAAGCTATTGTCGATACCGTGGAAGAATTATCACACTGGGGTGAAAGAATACCAAAAGTATGGAATGACTGTGAAAAGTTTTTAAAAGAAAATCAAAAGAAACAAATCATTTCAAGAAATGACGTGACGATGTTTTTCAGAAATAATTATCCTGAGACTGAAAAGGATATAAATGTAGATGATATTCTTAAATTCTACCACGAAGTAGGATTAATCTTGCATTTCCCAAATGAGAGCTTAAAAGATGTTATAATCGTTGATGTTCAGTGGTTTGTCCATGCTTTTAAGCATATCATAACCGACCCGAAGCATTTTGATAAACATTGCGGAAATAAGAACGAGTTCAAATCATTTAACGACTTTGGAATTTTGTCTGACACACTGTTGCAGAAAATATGGACATATAATAATAAAACAACAAAGTCGTGTATTCAACACAAGAGCAAAATAATACCCTATATGAACAAATTAGGTCTTATTGCACAGATCGATTATGAAAGTGCAAATCAAACTGACGCAGAGAAATCGGAAATAGTGGATGAAGTGAAGTACTACATTCCGAGTATGAATAAAATGAACTTTGATCTATCCTCTATTAGTAAAATAATGTCCGGTCAAAGGACGTCTATTCTACATTTTAAATTCACAGACTTTATTCCGCACTTCTTTTTTTACCGCCTGATTGTGGCTTGTATCGGTAAATGGAAATTATTAGATAAAGGAAAAAGGCTTTTTAAAGATATTGCATTTTATATAACAGATGGACAAGGGTATCATAACATAGCAATTGCAATAAACGAATCTTGTATCCAAGTGCAAATGTTTAGAAGAGATAATAGAGAACTAGAAATAGAACACACCTTAAGCTGCAGAGAAATGATTGAAGAAATGATTGGGAGAATCACATCAACATTTCATAAATCGGTGAAATATGTAACTGGATTCTCATGTAAAGATATCAATTTAACTGAAGAAAGTGAGGAAAACTTCTTAGAAGAAAGAGACATAATTAACTTGGTTCATGAATTTGCATGTCCAAATCATGTCGATAAAAATCATCAAGTCGATGGAGCAAAGCTTCTATAATACTGGGTAATAAAAATGTTTAACCTGTAGGTTGAGTTTGCTTAGGCAGAGAAAATATAGAAAGTTTAAAAAGACACTATCAAATTATGATAGGTATGATATGATCCTAACATTTACTTAATCTGAACTCCAAAAAACTTTTAAAAAAACATTTGTATTAAGTTATGTTTACTTATATTTACATTTCTATATTTGTTGGGTAGTATATATTCATTTAGATCTAAGATATGCTTTTTATTTGATTTGTTGCTCACTAAAATTATTTAATTTATTGCAGGTAAAAGACGACGAAGAAAATAAAACTCAGAAGTATTCTTAAATGTACAGTATACCAGAAACAATACAGCTTATTTACCATAAGTAAAATAAATAAGATGTTCACATGCATAAAAGAATGAAGATAATGGTGCTGTTCGAGTGGGTTATCTGAATAAATTTTGCATTTGTTCAATGCATAATGTTTACGTTGGCATAATTTTTTTATTTATGCATTTACACTGTAACTATGTTCCATCCTTTAATAGATAAATGCATATAGATTCTATTTATGGATTAATTGAAAATTTTATTTTATCCGCAATAAGAAGACTGTATTTGTTCAGATTCTTAACAATGTCATATAAAATCTTAAAAGAACCCCTTTAAGCGCATCTAATAAAATGCTAACAAGTATTTAATGTCGTTAAATGTGGATATGTTATTCATTTGAAAGCTGCACATGTGAACAAAAATATGTTTTATTTGATTGCATACAGAATTTTTTATTGTGGATGGGAAAGTTTGAATTCACAGGAAGCTATAGAAAAAAAAACTTTTCTCAAATAGTCTTTTAAAGTAAAATTATTTTTATAAAGACACAAGCACACAGGAGTAATGCAAATATTTTTTTATCTGTTTTATTTTTCCAATTTCCTTAAAATCAAATCCAAAATTTGATTTATTTGAAATCAATTATTGCATTAATATCTTGAAATAAAAATATACTTAATAAGTGTCTTTATTTTATTTCGAATAATAGTAAAAGGTATGAGTACAGCATAAATATATTTCACAAATCAAAGCAGCAAAAATAACCAGCTCATGATAGATACACTGTACGTCTTTTTACTGTATGTATTGAAAATGTAGATCCAAGTGTGTGTTTAGCGGAAAAGCTATTAAAGATGCCATTTAATGATATGTAGAACGGAGCTGTTATAAATACATATGTAAAAGTGATCATACTGAAAATAGCAAATGCGTCATTGTGAAGAGGTTGTTTTTATTTTCTGTATATATTACTTTAATTTTGTTCTGATGGGTTTCCATACATTTGAGTCTGTTTTGCCACGAGTATATAAAAGGAACCGGTTTTGTCGGGGTGGTCAGATCTAGTTTGGTGTCCGGTAGCGTGACCAACCGGAGGTGTGCCACGTTTGCTGTTTCCCCTGCATGATTTATACAAGTGGCGAATATTTTCGGTGAGATATAGCACCGAATGTTAACGGGTAGCCATATAACTTGCAAGGAGGATTATTGCAGCGTATTTGTGCAGTTCTAGCCGGTAAGAGTGTTCAAATAATGTATAGTGGGTTTGAAGTTATAAATTTCCGGTTTCATTTTTTTAGGTTAGGTTTTTGTAAATATAAATTAATTTCAGTGTGTTAGGGGCTTGGAGACGAGTTTTGATGTATGGGCGTACTGAGGGTCGTTTGACGAGGTCTGAGGGTTATTGACGAGTGTGTATGGAGGGCCACGTGCGACTTATCCAAGGTCGACACTGTTAAGGGCGTGGTAGGATAACTGGAGCGGGGGGCTAAGACCCGGGGCTCTGCGAGTTAGGAACTACCATTTTGTGGACTACGGAACTTGGTGTGACGTTGACGTTAACTGTATGGCGAAAGCGCCGTGGTGCATTTTCTAGGACACGTGTCGCTGACCTGTTTTGTGAACCAGAACTTTGAGTAACTTTCAGTAGTAAATAACAGAACACGTTTACATTGGAAAAGATATTTTTATTTGAAGTTAATTGAGCTTTTTCAAAATACTAATTGAAAAAACTGAATTAAGTTGGTGAATTTTACCTTTTTGATTTAAAATCTGATAATTATTGACTCAGCATTGTAGCATGTAATATTCAACTTTATAATGTAAAGTATCAGAAGTGGTTTAAGCTGAGTTAACTGTTCGTTCAGATCTATTTTCATTTCCGGTGTGTGAGCTGGTATGTGAGCGTAAGTGAAAGTAATTGAATATAATTTGTTTTTTTTTTATTTTGTGTTAATAAACTTATTTGTTATTTCCGATTGATATTGTTTTTCCTTCTCAACTCTACAAAATCCAAAAAAGAACTCATGACAATCATTCTTATCAAATTCTCAAAAAGCTTTAAAAGATCTTATCATTATAACATTTAAATTTATAAATGTACAGTTATACATAAAACATCTTCCTTCGGGGGGCGGGGGCGGGGGAGGGGAGTCAACAAATCATTCACTAATTAACCACCAGATTTAAATTGAAACGTTTTTTTAAGCTTTCAACTATCATTCGACAAAGAAAAAAAGAGTACATTTTAGGTGTAAAATTTAATCATTTTTGTACATCTTTATATGGAGCTTTTGTGCTAAATGAGATCGTTGGTCTAAAAAATAGCTGCATCCCCCAGCCCCTTTTCATATACATTTTCTTATAAGGAAGGATTCTATCCAGGATAAAAGATTTTTTTTTCAGTCATATCTGTAAAGTGATATGTTAAGCTTTTTTTTCTTTTGAGCATTCAAATTATTTTGAAATATTTCTTTTGCTCTATAAATACAAACATATTAATATAAATGCTTATTTCAATTTGATATAAATGTATCGCACATACGAAAATGTACATTTTTCCCAGCGATTAGAACTATGGCTAAGTGACATGTATTTCTACAGCTGTACAGCCAAATGTTTAACTTGGAATACATCTAAAAATTATTTGTGTCTTCACTGCCATTTTCTATGGTCCGTCGATTCGATATGCTTTCAGTAAGATTTGCATTTTTTAAACAATGTAATTTTCAGTCTTTTATATAAAAAAAAAACATAATAACGAATGGGCGTAACATGTATTTATAAGTGATATATACATTAAATAATAGAAATGATGAACATCTAAAGACCGAAAGATAAATGACAACAAAAGCTACATATACATTTTAAATATCATTTTAATCAGCATATATTCAAAATTATTTTTTTCTTGAGTCAGAAGTCTCCAATATTCTCCACTTCAGTTACTATGGCAGTAAATCCTAAAATGTTATTCTCCACGTGGTTTCCCAACATTGTCCTAAATAACCTAAGAGACTAATGCAGAATGTTCTTGTTTCGTATTTGGCTTTTTATAACCCCCAAAGTGCATATGTTTTTTTTTTTATGTTTAAAATTGCTTTTAAAAAAATGTGTTGTTTCAGAACTAACGGTATGTGTTAATTAGTGTCCATTTCTTTCGACCTTTCCTTTCAGTCAATCTTGCAAACTTTAACATACTCTGAACGTCAGTTGGCTTTAGATGCTGAAATCTTGTATTCAGACACACTTAACACAAATATAAGATATAAGTTACGCTTACCAACATTATTACAATCCATTTTTTCCTAAACTCGGATCTTACTTTCATGAGGTTTTCTCAATGATTGACTTCGCTTTGATATTGTTCTCATCTCCTCTTGATTTTTGTTGAGGGGAGGATTTCAATATCTTTCATTTTTACATAATAATTTAGTTAAAACTCTCTTATTATTCTTATTAATATATGAAAACTAGACAGCAATTTGTGGTCTGGATATTTTCATCATCACACCCTGAACAATAATTAGGATATTGTTCTCAAAGAAATGTTTACAAGAAAGCTTTGCTTCAAGATGTACCCCATTTTGAGATCAGCTAAAATTATGACATCATTGATTAAATCGTCAGTTATTTAATGGTTTATTATAATTTTCCCGATACTTTGCAATATCATAATTTTAGACCAATATGCTTACCTATTGTGTTTTGGTATTTTTGGGATCATGCTCGATATTCAGATTACGCCCGTTAACATGTGTACATGTAACATATATTGTGGAACACCCTGTACGTAGTAACCATATATAACCTGTCAGTTACCAATAATGGAGAAATAAATGTGCCTACCACCGTATCAGCAAACAATGTTTTAGTTACTTGAAGAGTTTGTTTATTGTTTCTTGGTTTTGATTTAATGTATTCATTTTAATATTGTTTAGAAAATCATACGTTTACTAATTTTTTGTTTCTCTTAAAAATATTCGGGTGTTTAAGAAAACATGAAGCGAATTAATAGGCTTTTAACACGATCCTGTTTTTAAGTGTCATTAAATTGCAATTAATTGATCACAGCTTCTTTTCCCTGTTCCTTAACTTGCCTACCCTTGTGTCTCTTGTTTGAAAGGTAAATGTTCACGTGTTTCTAATTAAGAAAAATAAATTCAAAACCCGTACTTATAGTGTGTAGTCTGCAACCAGTGGAAACGTCACAGGTACTGTTGTCACAGTCACATTTTCTTTGACATTCGTCTCCATAAAAAGGATAAGGACATGGTTGACTACAGTTGACGCCAGTAAATCCCGGTAAACATTCTGTAAATAATTATGAATTTACTGAATCAAAGCAGAGACGCCTGAAATGTGGATCGATAGGCGCCCTCTCTTAATTAAACAATATCTGCAAAAATTGAATCATATGTATCTGTTGTTCTTTGCAAACAGATTATACTTTTTTCGTATGTTCAGAGAATGACCTAATACGATAAAATTAAAGTACACAAGGACAGAAACACAATTTTGTAACTAAACGGAGGAAGGCGAGGGTACTGCATTGAAACTACCCAGCAGGCACGCAACGTTGTTTCAACGTTGAAAGGAGGTGGAATATAGGTTGCAACGTTGATCAACTATATTTCAACGTTGTTTCAACGTTGAGGTTTCAACGTTGAATCCTCAACCTTTTTTCAACGTTGAAACAACGTTGAAGCTACAACATATTTTCAACGTTGAACGTTCGTCGATATTTCAACGTTGAAACAACGTTGAGGCTGCAACATATTTTCAACGTTGAATGTTCGTCGATATTTCAACGTTGAAACAACGTTGAAGCTGCAACATATTTTCAACGTTGAATTCTCGTCGATATTCAACGTTGAAACAACGTTGAAGATTCAACATGTTTTCAACGTTGAGTATTTTTGATTATGTAAAGATAAAACAAGGTTTTAAAATGCTGTTTTTTTTTTTATTTCAACGTTGAAACAACGTGGAAGATGCAACATATTTTCAACTTTAGGAAAGTTATAGGAAAATTTAACGTTGAAACAACGGGTAACGAGTATTGAGCACTTTAGTTTTTAAGTTCAAAATATAAAGGTGTCTTTAACTTGTAATCCGTGCGATTTTTCGCAATATACACACAGCTGTTTGCATTGTTAGAAAGTATTATATACATGTATATAATAATTATACTTAAATAAATGAAACGCATGCATTATAAATTGATTCACTCAAAAGAGTTGTGCCAATAGCTAGTACCATTATACAATTTTAAATATGAGTTTATATGAAGCATGGCATCTACATTTAAAACTTCATTATAATTATGT